GCGGCAGCCTCACTCGCCGCCGCTATTATGGGAGGGGCTCTCGCCGGTCCAGGTCAAGAAGGCGCCGGTACAGGAGGAGGAGACGCAGACGCCGCTACTGAGCGACCCCAACTCCGGAGCGAGAGTCCTCAAGGCCCCCAGCCACCACCGTCTCTGTGCTGCCGCACCACCGTGGCCCTGGCTCCAATAAAGCAGCAATGATCACGCAACAGTCGTGTGTGTCCCTGGTGTCCCTGTGTGCCAGCTGCATGTCCCCCAGGGTTGTGTCCCGTGGGTGGGCATCTGTGTCTGCTGAGGTGTCCCATGGGTGTGCACATCCAGGGCCAGCACAAATCTCCAGGGATGGAGTTGCCTGGACCTGCCGGCTCTTGTGCTGGGTCTGAAACCTGTCTCCATGTCCTCTACCCATCTCGATGGTTGAGATATTCACCTGCAGCCTGTGGAGGTCCAGGTTGTGGAGATGGCCACCTGCAATCTGCATATGTACATGGTGGAGCAAATATTTTCCTGCAGCCTGTGGAGCTCCATGGTGGAGCAGATGGCAGGACAGTGGGGTTGAGTGCACTCTCAACAAGCTCACCAGTGACGCTAAAGCAAATTTTTGCAAGAATGTGTAGTGATAGGATGGAGAAGGATGGTTTTAAGATGAAAGAAGGTGGATTGAGCTTAGATAATGGGAGGAAATTCTTTACTATGAGGGTGGTGAGACACTGGAACAGGTTTTCCAGAGAAGTTGTGGATGCCCCCTCCCTGGAAGTGTTCAAATTCAGGCTGAACAAAGACAGGTTGGGCAGGGCTTTGAGCAACTGCTCATTCAGGGAGGGTGGCACTATATGAGCTTTAATGCTGGAGCCCTTGGCATCACCCTCCAGTCATGTGAGGGGCCATTGCTGGTCCGAGTCAAGAAGGCTCCAGTACAGGAGGCACAGGCAGTGCAGGGAGACACGCAGGCACCACTGCTGAGCTGACCCCTGCACTTGGGTACCTGTGAAGCCAGAGTCCTTGAGGCCCCCAGCCACCACTGTCTCTGTGCCACTGCAGCACAGTGGCTCTGCCTTCAACTGCAACCATGCTATGCATCTTATGAAAATACTGGCTAGAAGAGGAAGTCAATTCTTGGAGTGGAAAGGCTGCTTATATGGCTATCTTATAATTTGGATTGAATTAAATATATTGGAATCCACATATTTATCGGGTACGCTTGACTAGGTGGGGCTCAGAACAAATTATATTTTCATGCTGCAGTTTGGTCTGAATCTATACAACATCTTCATGTTGGACAAGAGGTTTTGAAAATCACTGGCAGTTGAAGCAAGAACTGCATTTGAGTCAGCTTATGAAAAGTTTGACTCTTAAAAGGTCATATTACCTTTCATGAGCAAATTGGACAAATCACATATGCTGGATGGTATTTTGGAGGTGATTTACTAGTCTGGAAACTTAGCAGCCTTTTTTGCTTTTGGGCACTTGAAAGATGCCTGGATGTATTCAACAGCAATTGGTGGTTTCTACCAACTTTGTAGCGCTACTGTTTGCTGGCACTGGTATAGTTAACTGTGCTGTGTTGCTGTGCTTCTTCTCCAATGTGCAACTCAGTATCAGCTTTTTGAGTTTACTAATCAAACCCTAAATGGCCAGCTTTGTACCATGTATTGTTACAGACCCTTGCATGTGAGTGTATTTATATGCAGAGCAGCAGCAGAGGCCCTGAAAAGCTTTTTTGTGGATTTGTGCAAGCAATGAATATAAAGAAATTAATTATCTGTACTGAAGCTCCCCTCCTAGCCCCTCACACCATGCTGTACAAAATACACCAAATGCCTTTATATGGAATGTAGCTGCTGCTTCTTCCTGTAAATGTTTATAAGATGTTATTAAAAACATATGTCCTCTCTTCCCGCAGACCTTGTTTAGAAAGCTAGCTGCAAGCATGTTGTTTTAGCTTTGCTTGCAAGAAGCAGCATCTGTTGTACTAAAAATGGTAGTTTTTACAAATGCTTTTGTTGCTCTCTTTTGTGAAGCCAACTAGAATTGGAATCTGCGTTTGCATTTGACTCACACCCTTCACAGGGAGCTAGCAGCAGTTGTTTGTGCCAGCCTCTGGAGATTTTCCTTATTGAGACTAAACTGCAACCCTTAATGTGATTAGCCATCTCTTTTTAACCTTGGTGCTTAACTTTCGTGCCAAGAAAAATGGGACCTATGATTGTATGTAGGTAGTATAGAGAAGTTACTTTTGACACCAGTATGAGTACATAGCTCTGGGGGAAGGTAAGCAGTCAGGGTCAGAAAAAAAAAATGTCTAGAAGTGTCTGCTGCAGAAAAGGCATCTGTTTTTTAATCATAATATGAGCTAGCTTCTGTAGATATTGGTGCGTTAGATCACTGTACTGCTTATTGTGATTTTACCTTTCTCTGCTCACACTCTTCTGTTTTCTGACTATATTTTTCTCCTTTTCCCCTTGATATCCCAAAGATGCTGTTTGGATTTCAAAGTGGAGATAAGCTGTCTTTCAAGCTTTTCTATGGTGCCTTTTAATGAACTGAACTGAAGAGGTAGCTGTTGAGTGGTGTGAGAGCTGCTGTTTTCCATATATTTTGTGCAGTGTGCTGACTCCACAGCAACAGGATTGATTTTTTTTTTTTTTTTTGGTTCCACTTTTTCCTGCTGCTTGCCACCAGTCCAATTACAATACAGATGTTTTGGTTGGGATTTTTTTGTTCAACTATTTACTCTTCATTTGGGGCCCCATAGCTGTCCTTCATAAGAAAGAATAGTGAAGTGTGGGGATGAAGGAGAATAACTGGCAAGGAACCAAGGAAGTAAAAGCAGCCACTGTCCTCTTCCTTAAGTCCTTACAACCAGAATATACAGCAGATACTGGCTTAGGGGCCATATAATGCTGTAGCCTGATTCTGTGTAGTAGCAAGATATTTTCCAGTAAAAAGAGAATGAAATTCAAACAGATTATTCTGTCCATGAAGATCATCATCCCTATCTTAAGGAGGTAATGAAAGCCTGGCCCGAAGTCTCTTCTAATATTTGAATCCTTTAAAGAAATATAAACAAAGTCTATGAATAAGCAGCAAAAGATGGGAAAGGGCCCAAGTGTCAGTTAGTACGCACTAAAGCACTTTTGATGAATAAGTTTTATGGAAATAGGAAG